GTTGTCTTCATTATTATTGTGCCTATATAATGCTATTGTATGTAGCACACTTTATTCAAAAATTTAATACAAGGCCCACATGGCCCAACTGAGTTTATAACGTAAATTCCTTTCACAGGTTTTCAATGCGAGGCGTTCAACAACCCGGCCGATTTCTTCCTTGACATTATTATTGACCATGAAACAGAATCACTTAAAAATAGGAGTGAGTGTTTGATTGTTTCCGTTTTTTTTTTCTTTTCTTTTTCTCCCTAATTAACATCAATGCTTTTTCAAAAATAGCTTTCAGCCTGGCGTGCGATGCTTCAGGCAATTTCTTTTCTATAATGTCCTCAGACTATAATTGCATAGGCTTATTAAAATTTACAACTTGTAACTTACTTTAGTAAACAATCAAAGTAATTGAAATAATATTTCAATAACAGATCAACGCAGGCAATAATATACATTCAATAGTTAACATGCATTTAGGCATAATTAGACAAAATCTGAAAAAAATATTTTATAATTTATATGATTTTTTCGAGCAGACAGTTCTGAAAACGGGACAACTAAAGAACACATGTCTCTGGTGGATAATTTTAAGAAGTCAACACACTACACATCTCTGCAAGACGAAGCAACGAAACTACTTTCTAACTACAAACAAACTCAGAACGTTGTTGTGCATAAAATCGATTATCCAACTTCTTTTCTGAAACAGGTTTGGAATCGTTTTCCTTATCAAACAATGCATGTTAACTCGTATATGAATATACATTTATTTTTTCCTATATGAAATTATATACATTATTGGGTTATACTGTATAACAATATACATGTATGATAATATAATATAAAAGTAGGCCTTCGGTATATCATTAATTGGCTTCAAGCCAACTCGGCCCTTTACCAACTCGGACCTTACAGACTCTGCCCTTCACCCTCGGCCCATAAATAATAGGCCTACATGACCCATAACCAACTCGGCCCTAGCCAACTCGGCCCTTGTCGCGTTGGTATGGTCCGTGTTGGCAAAGGGCCGAGCTGATTCGAATTGATTGATTAAGTGATCGATTTTTCTACCGAAATTAATATTATTTTCTTTCAGTTTGCTGTTTTAGCAAGGAGAGCATTCACTAACTTGATTCGAAACCCTCAAACATCTACGTTACAGGTATACAAATTAGACTTACGTAACAAATTGTAGGCCTACTGTCAGGTGTCTCCTTATTAAATTGCATAACTCAAAACTATTCGACCTGTTTTCTGCTCAAATTGTATTTCTTAATCAATTAATGTATATGTATGTAAGAATAATGATAATATTTATAATTTCGATGTTGATTGCGTCAGGAAATTTGATAGGAATGCCGTTTTCCCATTACATGGCGTGTTATCGTACTGAATAGGCATATAAGTACTTTCCCGTATACTTGCAACAAAAATCGCTAGTGATTTTGGTGGAAATCGAACCCACGACCGTCAGATAACTAGCCTGGGGTCATAACCACTAGATCAATTGAATTGAACACTAGCCACTAAGTGCCAGCTCGGTGGTCTAGTAGTTGTGACACCAATCTAATGTTAATGATATGATATAATAATAATAATAATAATAATAATAATAATAATAATAATAATAATAATAATAATAATAATAATAATAATAATAAACAAAAATTAATAATAATAATAATGATTTATAGAAATGTTTTTTCAAAATTAATACTAGTATTTTTACTGATAGATATTAATACTCGTTGTTCTTGGTCTCGTCGTGGGTGGATTATTTTGGCAGCTCGATACTTCGCTCTCGTCAGGAATACAGAACAGGTTGTGGTACAAGATAGTCAATAGTGTTTTAAAGTTACTGTCAATTGCGCAGGCTAGTTGCAGGATTTTTTCTCACGATATGAACAACTCCACTCCCTAAATCTCATATTGAGATTTAGTTTGTGTAAAGCATCGTGTGTGTATGTTTGTCTTGTGTAAGGGATTGTCACCTACAAGTAGGACTGTGATATAGGCCTATATTCGCTATTGGCAATCCTTGGCACATGTATTGTGTGCCTAAAGAAAGAATAATAATAATAATAATAATAATAATTTTATCAATGAAGAACTGTACACTCACACAATATGTATAAGAGACAGGCATAGGCTTATTAAAATTTACAACGAAGCGTGTTTTTTTTTCTTCTCATTTTGATACTTTTCCCTTTTCTCAGAATCGGTGTATTTTTCTTTATGATAATGAACATCACATTTGGAAACATTAGTGCCTTAGAGGTGTTCATTTATGAAAGAGTTATATTTATGTAAGTATTTTTATATATGTACCTAATTTCATAACTCTCAGTGTAGACAATAATACTAGACTCGTCCTGCATGTTTCATTGCCATCATTTCTCTGGGTTAGGCTTACCAACAGTGAGTTTACACCAGGAATGCAGTTTCTAAGAGTTTTAAATTGGACGGGAATGATGGGGTGATATGGGATGATTTTACTATTAGTGAGTAATTTTTGGCTTAAGAAATTACAAGTGAGGTGGCCGGGAGGCACTGGGGAGTGAGCTTCTTTGCATTAAGAGGGGAGGGTGGTCGGGGGACCACTAGATACGCTACAATAACGCGAGGGGTCTTGCTTAGGTTGCGCTAGTATAACATGTGTTATTACTGTATTATTATTTTGTTTGCAGGCACGAGTCAGCTGGTGGTTTCTATCGCACGTCCGCTTATTTTTTTGCAAAGGTCCTATGTGATTTGGTTCCAATGCGCATGTTCCCCACATCAGTGTACTGCTGTATTACGTACTGGATGATAGGTAAGATGCAGCTAATGGCTTAATGTGAAAGAAGTGTAGTGGAACTGGCTAAGGATTGCTTCAAATTCCTAGCTTCAGAGTCACTTGTATAATAGCAGTCAACCAGTACAGTACCATGCAGTATCTACCAGTACAGTATCTACCAGTACAGTAACATACAGTATCTACCAGTACAGTAACATACAGTATCTACCAGTATCATTCAGTATCTACCAGTACAGTATCATACAGTATCTACCAGTACAGTATCTACCAGTACAGTATCATTCAGTATCTACCAGTACAGTATCATACAGTATCTACAAGTACAGTATCAGTACAGTATCTATCAGTACAGTATCATACAGTATCTATCAGTACAGTATCTACCAGTACAGTATCATTCAATATCTACCAGTACAGTATCTCCAATACAGTATCACTCAGGATCTACCAGTACATTATCATACAGTATCTACAACTACAGTATCATACAGTATCTATCAGTACAGTATCATACAGTATCTATCAGTACAGAATCTACCAGTACAGTATCATTCAATATCTACCAGTACAGTATCTACCAATACAGTATCTACCAATACAGTATCTACCAATACAGTATCATACAGTATCTACCAGTACAGTATCATACAGTATCTACAACTACAGTATCATACAGTATCTATCAGTACAGTATCATACAGTATCTATCAGTACAGTATCTACCAGTACAGTATCATACAGTATCTACCAGTACAGTGTCATACAGTATATATCTACCAGTACAGTATCTGCCAATACAGTATCATTCAGTATCTACCAATACAGTATCATACAGTATCTACCAGTTCAGTATCATACAGTATGTACAAGTACAGTATCATACAGTATCTATCAGTACAGTATCACACAGTATACTGTCCAGGTAACAATCCCACATGGGGCCCATATGCAAAATATCTGGGAAAAGTCTTATGGGCTACCCCATATTTTTCCCTTATGGGATCCGTCTGGGCAATCACATATGGGGTTTGCCCATGGTTTACCCATATGGAGCCCATATGCCAAATATATAGGCAAATATATATGGGAATGCCCATATTTAAAGTACATGGGCCCCATATGGTAAATACCTGGGCAGATAAATATGGAAATGCCTGTATAAGAGACAGGTTCTGCACTCTAGGATAACTATTATATTTAGCTGCATGCGTCTACATGGGGCCCACATGCCGAAGACCTGGGTAGTTGAATATGGGTATGCCCATATTAATTTCGTATTGGGCCCATGTGCCAAATATCTGGGAAAATACTTATGGGCATGCCCACATATAATACACATGGGACCCATATGCCCAATACATGGGCAAGTAAATATGGGAAGCCCATATTTAATCCAAATGGAGCCCATATGCCAAATATGTGGGCAGTTACATATGGGCATTGTGGGGGCGGGGGAGGCAAAAAATTGCACAAAAACTACTAACACCGGAAATGGGTTCCATGTGCCAAATATCTGGGAAAATACATATTGGCATGCCCATATTTATCTACATGGGGCCCACTTGCTAAAGACCTGGGTAGTTGAACATGGGTATGTCCATATTAATTTCGCATTGGGCCCATGTGCCAAATATCTGGGAAAATAATTATGGGCATGCCCACATATAATAAAAATGGGACCCACATGTCAATTACCTGGGCAAGTAAATATGGGAGGCCCATATCTAATCTAAATGGAGCCCATATGCCAAATATATGGGAAGTTACATATTGGCATGCCCTTATTTAATTTGCATGGGACCCATATGCCAAATAACTGGGCATATAATTATGGGATTGCCCACATTTAATCCACGTGGGTTCAATGTGCCAAATATCTGGGAAAATACATATTGGCATGCCCATGTTCAGTCTACATGGGCACCACATGCCAAATAACTGGGCAGATAATTATGGGAATTCCCACATTAATCTACACGGAGCCCATGTGCCAAATATCTGGGAAAATAAATATGGACATGCTCTTGTTCAATCTACACGGACCCCATATGCCGAATAACTGGGCAGATAGTTATGGAAATAATACCCGCATTTAATCCACATGGGGCCCATGTATTAATAGCTGGGGAAATACATGGGCTTAAGCTAGTGTTTAATTTACACATTTACATATGCCAAATAAAGGGAGGATAACCTTGGGAATGGCCACATTTAATCTACATGTGACCCATATACCAAATATCTGGGAAAATTCATTTCCATGTGCAATCTACATGGGTCCAATATGCCAAATTCCTATATGCCAAATTCCCATAGGGCCTAATGTGTCAAATATATAGGAAATAATATTTGTGCCTGTGTTTACTCTACATA